TTCATATATTTATTCGCTTGTTTAATTTCTTCCTCTGAGAAGCGTGTGTTCATCTCAGATGCCCATTTCTGGATTGGGTCTTTAAATTTTGGGTCCCTGGTGTTTTTTAGTTCTTTATAGATTCTAGAGAGCAGACCCTTGTACCATTTCCTTTTAAATGGAATATTCATCACATAACCTCAACTTCAATAAATTTAATATTACACTGATACTTTCATCACATATACTGTTCTTTCTCTTGTAAATCAAATAACGGCCATTCCAGTGTTCCTCACCCCTCATTATGGGATCCATTGTACTCTGAGGTGTCTAATTCCTTTTTCCCCAGGGGAGAAATCTGAGTTAGGCAGAGGAGAGCCCAGGGCCACCCCCTTCTGATCACAAGCTCCTAGAACAAACACGTGAACCCCCTTGCTGGGGGCCTGGGCTGGCTGGGGGGTGGGGGAGGGGGGCGGACTGGCTGCATTTCCTAGTTTGCCAAGGTTACCTAGGGAACCCTGTGTCCATCACCGTGGCAGCTGCTCACTTCATAGCCTTGTGAAGTAAGGTCAGGGACCACCACTGTGCCTTTGCTTAGTCACAATTCATGGAGTCCCAGTGAGGTCACCACCAGTGGGATAGCTCAGTTTTGGAGTCCATGCTTAACATGGTCAAGGCCCTGATTTTGATGCCCAGAATAAAAAAGAAAATGGTGCTTTTCACAGTCAGCAAGAAGAGGAAAGAGAGGAAAGCAGAGAGTTCCCTGAGTCTACTCTGTTCTAGAAAGTTCCTTTGTAAAAAGTCCTGAGACTACCGATTCTTCGAGGTCAAGAACCATGTCTCATACTCACCTTACAGGCAGCACCTTAAAAAGGGCCTGTCCTTGGATGCCTCATGGATATTTGCTCAGTGGATGGATATGGGCCATTCCTCTTCTCAGCTGACTTCTTACTAATGGGGACAGAGGTCTGGGAGCATCCTGGTGGATAGCTCACGCACCTGAAGGTGGGCAGTGGGTGTGGGCAATGGCTACAACCTGGCCTGAGCCTGGTCATTGTTTTACCAGGGCAATGTGGAGTGATGTGCAGAAGGAATGGTTGTTTCCATCAATCCCATGCTTCTTTGACTTTACTAGTGTGCTTGTCCCTTGGCCCCAGGAAATCCAAGTCTATGGGTGGCATTGGAAATCAGCTTCAGGACCATGTGGCAGGGGCACAAGACCTGGGTGTCCCTATTGAAACCTGTATAGGAATTCTCAGTAGGAAAGGGAGGGAGATGTCCTGTGTTTTTAGGACACACAGCATGACATTCACCTTTTCAAAGAGTAAAGGGCGAGGGATATTAGTGTATTTACGGAGTCGTGTGACTGTCATCACTACCCAATTTCAAAATAATTCCACCACTCCCAAAGGAAACTCCACACTCATTAGCAGTCACTCCATCTCATCTGTCCCCAGCCTAGGCAACCACTAATCTGTCTTCTGTCTCCATGAATTTACTCCAGACTTTAACGTACATCAGTCAGGACTCTATACCACGTGCAGAGATGGGTTAATTTGCTCAAGCCCTGAAACTACATCTGTACATAGTTCAGGTGGAACGACAATGTCTGGGTTTCTGTTGTTCTTTAGCCAGAGTCTCACTGTGCTGCCTCAGGCTGGCCTCAGACTCCTGGGCTCAGGAGACCTAGGGTTCAGTTTCCACCAGAGGCTACAGACCAGCGCATACCACAGTGCCCAGCTACTATGTGGCCTTTTTTTTTCTTTTTTTTCCTAGTTGAGCTTTTTCTATTTTTTCAAAACAGAGAACTCAGATTTCATTCCATAACACTCCCTTCACATATTTCGGATTTTCTTTCACCAAAGCAAATTCAGTGTCAACCTGGGTAAGTAGTCATTTGATTCATTACCTGTTAGGGAAAGATCTGAGCAAACAGAATAACTTCTGCTTGAAGGCTGTCTGACAAGATATTGGACATGTATGTTACGAAGGTTATAATCAAGTTATACTTCAAGATTTATTCATTTATCGTTTTCATTCAGCTGACCTTTATCACACACACCAACATGGGGTGGTCTTGTGCCCTCATGTGTACCACCATGCGTTTATTTGCACCATGGAGCAAGCTGTGTGTTGTCAGAGCGCTGACCTACTTTATTTTGTGTTCCCAGAGCTTTACCTATTTTTTTTTTTTTTTTTGATACAGGGTCTCACTACACAGTTCAGACTTAGAGTGATCCTCCTGTCTCAGTCTTTCCAGTGCTAGGACTGTAGGCATGTACCACACGCCCAGTTTTGGGGCCCACACAGCATGCCCGGGGTTCCAGGGCCAACAAGGCATGCAGTCCTGGGGACTGAACCCGGGTCCTTGCACTTACCAGGGAGGTGTTTAGACCACCGAGCTATTTCCCCAGCCCCTGTACCTTTTTTTGTTAGTACATGTTTGCAGTATTTACTATGTTACAATCAAATATAAATCAGAACCAGACAATAATATTGCAAGAATTAATATTTAGATATCAGTCCATGCTTTGCCAATAACTGTGTTATTCTATACCATGCAAATAGTATGTTAATGTTATTAAAATTTCCCTCATACTAGCATTTCTTACCTTTCCTCTTTATCATTACTAAATCATTTCTACACTTCGTGTATTATGTGGCCTTTTACTTCGGTTTCTTTCACTTAGCATAATGCTTTCGAGGTCATTCATGGCATAGTGTGCCATTGGGCCTTCAGTCCTTTTTCTGGCTGGGGAAAACCCCATGGCACGAATGCACAACATTACTATATATCCATCCGCCACTGGACAGCGGGGCTGTGTTCACTGTGGAGCTATTGTGAATAATGCTGCTGTGGACCTCAGTGGACAGTGTGTCTGGAGGTCTGTGTCTTCCTCTTTCTTGGCTGTACACCCCGGGTGGAATCGCTGGTCCTGTGGTAGCTCTGTTTAATCTTCTGAGGAACCAGCAAGCTGTTTCCCCAGGGCTGCATCTTGGCGCATCCCCGCACTCAGCGCCCGTGTAGCGCTGCCCACCCACCTGCCTTAGGCCAGGCGCTCCGTGGACCTTTTGCCCCTCAGCTCCGTGATCTTCACACCAACCTGAGAAATACGTATTACTTCCTCCGCTGTCCCGAGGAGGACAGAGAGGCTCAGATAAGCGAGGACTCCTCCACCTCCTCCCCGGAACCACATGGGGAGTGGCCAAGCCTCGATTCACACCGGTTCTGGCCCTTAGGTTTGCTTGGTTCCTCGGTGACTGCTGGCGAGCTGACTGTCCAGATTTCTAAAGTCACATTAGTCTTCTCTCCAACTCTCTGGGCACTGTTTTGCAGACAGGAAAGTTGGACCCCCACTACCCCAAGGTCTGCGGGCACAGAGGGAACATCCTAGACATCAAGTGGAACCCTTTCAATGACTTCGAGATCGCCTCCTGCTCTGAAGATGCCACGGTGAGTGTCAGCTGGGCGTGATTCTATGGCCTAGGGGTCGGAGGTGTCTGCATTCCCCTTGTGGTGGCCCCGACTACTTCATCCCTGAAGTGAGGTTACTGTGGAAGGGGCAGAAGAGAGACAAGAGGGTTGGGGTAGTTGGAGCTCGGGGGCCACCCCTCCTCTTTCTGGGCCTGGACCACCTATCACATGAGCACTGGAGCGCCAGCGCAGCTAATGAAGATCCTGTGGCAGTGGGAGCACAGCCTCTGGAGAAGCTGTAAAATGCTATGAGGATAATCTTTTCTCTTTTTTAAGGGCATTTTATTGTGGTCAGAATCTACTAAATCTCACAGGCAGTGGAAAAGTGAGCCATGAAAGGGTGGGAATGGAAAGTGTGTGAATATAGAACCCAGAAAGGTCTGTCCTACCAACTGTTTTTAGGACAAGGATGTGTTGCCCAGAATGGCCTCAAGCAGTCCTCCCCCCTCAGCTTCTGCAGTAACTGGGACTACAGGTGCACCCCAGAACGCCCAACTCCATCAATGCTTCTGAGCTCCTATTCTGTACCAGGGACATGGTCCCTGTCCCCTCAGTGTTTAATATTAACTTACTTGAAATTCACTCTGTATAACATATTCATTCTCTTTGTAAAATATAGTGGTTATAGCTTAAAATAAAACACATGGAGGTGATCAGCTAACTAAAATAAGGATGAAGGTCATAGGACCATTTCTGTGGACCCATTGTTTTTGTTTGTATGTTTATTTTTGAGACTGGGTCTCACTATGTAGTCCAGGCTGGCTTTGAACTCACAATGATCCTCCTGCCTCAGGCTTCTGAGTGCTGGGATCATAGATGTGCATCACCACGCCCGGCTACCCATTGTTTTCCTGATTTTATTTATTTATTTATTTATTTATTTTTAATGTATTTAGTATAGGGTCTCACTACACAGATCAGACTCATAATATCCTTCTGTCTTCACCCTCCCAAGTGCTGTGATTATAGGTGAGTGCCACCGTGCCCAGTCTCAGTCATATCTCAGTGCACCCCGGGGGCAGGGCCGACAGACACGGCATGTGGTCCCAGAGATCGAACCCGGTCCCTGCGCTTGCCTAAGCAGGCGCTGTAATCCACTGAGTTGTCTGGCCAGTCCTGTTTTCCTGATTTGAACAGCACTTATCCTTTCGGTCTTCCCCGCAACTCCACAAGGTAGGATATTTTCCTGATGGAGAACCCAAAGATCAGAGAGGTGCAGGGACTTTCCCAAATTACACTTGGTAGGAGGCAGCCCTGACTTCGCGCTGGGGTGCACTTGACTCCGGAGCCTGTTCTCTCTCCCTCTCCAGAGCTCTGCCACTTCCCTTGAGAGCAACAGCCAGAGCACAGATGGAGAAAGTAAGGAAATCCCAGAAACATCAGCTGTGTGGGGTAGCAGTGCTAAGTTCTTACTTTAGCTCTGAGTTGTCTGGTAGCCAAGGTTTAAAAAGGGAATTAAAGTCTTATTGCTGAAACTTCTATCAGGAAGGGAAACAGGAAGTTTTGTTTCATTTTTTTGGACAGGGCGTCACTGTGCAGCCCAGGCTGGCCTCGAACTCATGGTCCTCTCCCATCAGCCTTCTGAGCTAGGAGTATAGACATGCAGCTCAGGAATCCAAAAATTCTAGAGGACCTGTGTCAGTGTCTGTGTGGAAAATTGCTGAGAAACATCAATGACAGTTTCACCCAAGGGGCAATCGGGCCTTATTTATGGAAGCAGGTTCTGTCCCAGTGCAAGTAGGCATCTGGCAGTACTTGCCCTCTGGGGCATGCTTTGAGGCTCCTGAAAACTCTTTATAATAAAGACCTATAAAAAATTTAAAAAAAAGAAAAAAGAAAAAGAAGAAGAAAGACCTATGACCTACCGCTATCCCTTCCTGGACATGCCAGGAGTCAGGCAGCTGACACAATGATTAAGATTTAAGCGGCAGCAGATTCCTTTTGTGACTTCATGTAGGACCCAGGGCAGGAATGAGCCTCCAGTCTTGGGAAGTGTGGGGGGCCATGCATCCTCTGCTGGGGTGTGCCTGTATTCCCAAGCAGCCTAGCCCGGAGCCTGGCCTGCCTGAGCAGCTCTGTGCAGGCATGACTTCACCAGCCACTTTATCTACAGCCTGTACTACTCCAGACAGTCCATGTCCTAGAACTGAAAGAACAGTTGTTTGCTTGAAAAACTTGTGAACAGGAAAACCTTGGTTTGCAAGTAGTTTGTTTCAGAAACATGCTTGTAGTCCAAAGCACTTGTGTACCAAAGCAAATTTCCCCATAAAAAAATAGTGAAATCGGGGCCAGGGAGAGAGCTCAGTGGGCTAAGCACCTGCCTGGCAAACACAAGGACCTGGGTTCAATCTCCCGTACCACATGCCATGCCGGCCCCACGTGAGCCAGCCACCAAAACTGGGCATGGTGGCACACATCTGTAGCCCCAGCACAGGGGAGGCTGAGACAGGAATATCACTACAAGTCCAAGCTTTGTAGCAAGACCCTGTACCAAATAAATGAAAGATTTAAAAAAAAAAATTGTAAAGTAATGAAATAAATCCACAACCCAAAAATATTCATATAAAATGATTATAACCCTGTCCTGGAATACAAAATAGTAAAGAAAATATAAAGAAAAATAAGCAAATTAACCTTCACTTACCTTTGAAAACCTTTGTGGCTGGTTATGAGGGAGACAGAGAGGGGTTACTGTGTAGGATGACTTTCATTATCACTAAGGGAATCGCTGCTGTCTGCTCACTCTGAAATCTTTCTTTTTGTGGAACTTCAACAGGAGACTGATCCAATGACACTTGCTTTTGTCTCCTTTTGAGGATTTCATGGAAATGTAGCATTGTATCATCATTAAATAGGTTCATTGCTCGCACTTCTACAGCCTTATTTAGGTGGTGCTTTCCTATGAAATTCTGCAGTTTTCCACATTTCACAAAGCTCCTTAATCACATGGAAGCGAGGGATTCCTTTGCCCTTTTCTCCTCCTCTGCAGATGAGATTTTCTCCATAACCTCTTGCTATAGGGACATGATCACCCACAAACCTGCAGAGGGAGCGAGGGAGGGAGGGACAGAGGGAGATGGACAGAGATAGGCAAAGAGAGGGAACCATTGGCCCAGGCATGAGCACATGATGTTTAGTGCCAGGCACACTCATATTGCAAGACATCACTGGTTTATCAGGTTAAAATCTATTAGAAATGTTTACCCATCTTATGGAACAGTTGCGGAACAAGTTATTCACAAGACAAAGGAAGTGGTGCATTCAGGCGTTCAGCCATGGAGGGGCAGTAAGGAGCATTGAGACAGCAGCATCCAAGGCTTCATCTCCTCCAAAGCACCACCCAAGCCTGTTTGCACTCTCCCTTTTTGCATGGCAGCCCCCCTGCCATCTCAGACAACACTTCGCTGGAAGGAGGCCTCAGCCCCTCCTCTCTAACCTTTGCTGTGACGTACCGACCTTCAATCCCATCCACTCCTGGTTTTCAGTCTCTCCTGTTCCAGGCTATTAACAATACTTCCTCACACCAAGATCCTCTGTGCTCCAGAGTTTGTTCTAGCACCTCAGTGCCTAAGGATGCAGCACCAATCCTTCTTCCCAGCATTCAAGATTCCGCTGTGAGATCTTAGGAAAAGGAAAGGGAAGACACTAAGTTTGGAGGGGTGTCCTAGGCGGAGCAGCACATGTGGCTTGGCATCCAGCCTGGAAGATAGCCCAACAGCCCACCCACCTGCCCACCACCTCAGGCCATCAGAATGGCAGAGAGCTGGGCACAGCCGGCTGAGGCAGGAGGACAAGTGTGAAGCCAGCCCAGGCACCTTAGTGAGATCCTGTCTGAAAAAATAAAATGTTGGTTAACCTTCCCTGGGTAAAGGACTGGAAGCATAGGCTCACCTCAGGTGAAGACAGCTGCTGCTCCAGCCAGAAGACCTTGGTAAAGCTCCTGTCCTTCTGGCTGCTTTTCCACTGTGGAGCAGGTAAATCAGCATGCCCTGAATAACCCATGGCCCCGGCCCATGTGTCTTCTGCCAGATCAAACTCTGGGACATCCCCAAGCAGCTGCTGACAAGGAACCTCACAGTCTACAGGAAGGAGCTGGTGGGCCACGCACGCAGGGTGGGCCTAGTAGAATGGCACCCCACGGCTGCCAACATCCTCTTCAGCTCCGGCTACGACTACAAGGTGGGTCTGAGGCTTCCCCAGCAAAGTCACCGCGGGTGGGTGGCTTGAGACAACAGAAGCATCCTCTCCTCTGTTCCAGAGACTAGAAATCACAAGGCAAGGTATTAAGAGGCCATACAGAGCCCTGGGGGGAGGAGTCATCCGTACTGACCCCTGGCCAGCAGCCCCATCTACCCAAGCTCCTACAGCCTGAGAATGTCCCCTTGCCTCCTCTGGGCCTCTGTCTCCTGGTCTGTAGGCACATGGGGGAACCACAGCAGTGACTTTCCATCTTTTCCCTTCTTGCTCTGTTGGGCATTATGAAGGCACCTCTCCCCTGCCTTCTGGTCTGAAGCTCTCTTTGTCCATATAGGGTGTGTGTGCCCGGCTAATGTGCAAGCGTGGGCCGGTTATTCTTCACAAAGCTGCAGGGGGCGCTGTTTGATGCTTAGGCTGGGTTTAATCTGCCCAGGAAGGAGCTTTACAGTGCACACACAGCCTGTGCAGCTAAATCCTGCAGCCCTGGCTGTCCACGCAAGGTGGAAAATGCTGCTGCTGTTTGCACACAGCTCCTCCCTTCCATTTGCTGGCTCCCTGGGGTCCTCCCGCATAGATGGTTTCTTGCTCAAAAGCAGATGGTATTTTCCTCTCACTAGAATACAGCCTGGCTCCTGGCTGCCCCCTCCGCCCCATGCAGCCTTCTCAGCATATGTGTTCTCCTCCCACCCTCACCAAGGCTCCTGGGCCAGGCTACCAACTGCGCTGCCCTCCCGGGAATACCGTGTTTTCCCGCGGCCCACATGTCACTGTAGGACTGGGGCGGGGTGGCCACCGCCTGTGCTCAGAGCCGGCACTCTGCCTGCAGGTGATGATCTGGAACCTGGACACCAAGGAGTCTGTCATCATGAGCCCCATGAGAACCATCTCCTGTCACCAAGACGTGATCCTGTCCATGTCTTTCAACACCAATGGCAGCCTGCTGGCCACTACCTGTAAAGACCGAAAGATTCGGGTTGTTGATCCCCGGCTTGGGACAGTCCTGCAGGTCAGTACTGGGACAGGGTCCAGTATGGGGGCTGAGAAGCAGAGGATCAGGTGGGGCTGGGGCAGTTCTGAGAACCAGATGGCATGCTGGTGGCTTCTGGGGTCAAAGCCCTTTAGGTGACATCCTCAGTGGCTGCCCTCTACACAACAAGGGGAAATAAGATGTGTCAGTTCCATTTCTTAGATGGGTAAATTGAGGCCAAAGAGGGAGGAAGGGACTCCCTTGCATTGAAAGCAGGATTTAAACCTCTCAACTCTAAAGCTGGTCCATGTGCTGCACTCGCCCAGGGGTCAGGAGACAGAGGCAGCATTATCTGTCCACTGAGTGATCTTGGACAAAGATTTTCTGTTCTCTGAATCCCTATCTGCTCAGCAGCAGCATGAGCCATTCATCTGTCCTGTCAGTGGACTAAATAGGACCGCCAGGTGACAGCGTGTGCCCAGCCTGTGCTCCTGGGTGGGGCTCTCAGTATGCTTTCAGCAGGATCATGACGCAGACAGAGCTTCACCGCATCCTAGCAGGGAGAAGGGTCAGGGGTGTGCAGGGCTGGGGTGTGCCGTGTCACTGAGGAGGCAGGCAGGCTTCCTGGAAGTGGGGCCCCAGGTGGAGTCTCCAGCACCAGGCTGGGGACCAGAGGCCAGAACCTCTGAGCTGCCATCCAAGTCCCTTCATGGCATCTAGCCACTAACCGCATGTGTTCCCCCAGGAAGCCAGCTACAAGGGGCACCGGGCCAGCAAGGTGCTGTTTCTGGGAAACCTGAAGAAGCTCCTATCCACAGGCACATCACGCTGGAACAACCGGCAGATGGCCCTGTGGGACCAGGTGGGTCCGCAGCACCCCCGCCCTGCCATCACCCCTCAGCCAGCAGCCCCTTGGGCGAGCCCAGGCCTGGTGCATCCAGTCCTTGGAGGAGAGAGATGCAGAGGCCCCAGGCGAGGTCCTGGTGGAGGGCCAGAGCGGCCTCGGGAGCTGCTAGAGCACAGCCCTGGGGGCATCACTAAAGGGCATCCATGGGGGTCTTCCCTGCATTGAGTCTCCTGCAGCTAGTAAAACAGATGGCGGCAGGGCAGGATGACATGTGCCTGTAATCCCAGCACTTGGGAGGCTAAAGCAGGTGGATGGCAAGTTTCAGGCCAGCCTGGACTGCACAGTCAAGTCAAAACCAATAATGGAATAAAATAGAGGTTGGAGGAGGTGCAGAATCAGACCCAGCGTGTCAGAAGTGACTAAGGGTCAGAATGCTGGCAAACATGGTCCAAGTTTTAGTGCCTTTAAAATGCCTTCTCTGGCCAGGGAGATAGCTCGGTGGTCTAAGTGCCTGCCTGGCAAGATAAAGGACCCAGATTCAATCCCAAGTACCATGTGCCCTGCTGGCCCCATATAGAGCCAGCCACCAAAATCAGGTGTGGTTACGCACCCACAGATTGGGCCTCCCCACGCCATCCCTGCCCCAAGCCCCACCCCTGGATTCATACACAAGATCAGCCACTCTGCCACACACACACACCCCAAGCCCCACAGCAGCCATTCTGATCTCAGGCAACTCAGCAGCCGTCTTTGTGTCCCATCCCTGCAGGATGACCTCTCAGTGCCCCTCACAGAGGAGGACCTGGATGGCTCCTCCGGCGTCTTGTTTCCCTTCTACGACCCGGACACCAACATGCTCTACGTGGTTGGAAAGGTCAGCCTGACTGGCTCAGGAGGAGGGGGTGGCTGTCCGGGCCCCTAAGGCAGGAGCAGAAATATCCCAAGCTGAGCCCAGCAGCCTGGGGCCCTTGGGGACAGATGACAGTGGCTGGCCACTGTTCACAACAGGGCAGCACCCTCCCAGCTCACTAGCCAGACTGGCGCCAGGGCTGTAGCTGGTCAGCACACGCTTGTCCTTCCAGCTCCGGGACTGAGGGCCTTTCCTCACAGGGCCACTGTGAACTTGGGCAGAGCAGATCTTCACAGTGTAGGCTCCGCCACAGTTGGCATCTCAGGACCCTACCTGCCAGTGCCAGGAACACACCCTTCCCGTCTGCTAGTCACTGTGACAACCAGAAATGTTCCTCAGGGCTGAGATTCTGAGCTCTGTGTGGGTTTTGGGTGGGAGCGGGATTCGGGCATTTTCCCAAAGCCTCTGCTTTAGAGGGTTGAGGGTGGGTTTTGCATTATAGTTGGGGGCACTGAAAGTTAAAATGAGGACTTCTTTGTGCCTTGGTGACAGGCCCTGAGTTCTCTGGCGTCCCCAGTGAGATGTGGGTTTGCCAGCGGCTCCCTCTGTGAGAGCCAGAGGAGGCTGCTGGACCTGGAGGCCCAAGCGCTGCTGTGGCTCGGCTCTGAGTCTTGCCTGCTCTCTTAGGGGGATGGCAACATCCGCTACTACGAGGTGAGCGCCGACAAACCTCACCTGACCTACCTGACTGAGTTCCGCTCCTACAACCCTCAGAAGGGCATCGGTGAGTGGGGCTCCTGGGCCCGTGGGAAATGCCTTAGGCCTCTGGGGCTGTCGGAATCCATTTTGTGTCACTAACACAGAACCACCAGTTGGATGCATTCTAACAAGTGAACTGTGTTTGAGTTCAGGGTCGAAGGGTCGCGCGTGGTAATGGCCCTTCCTGCTGGCAGAGCCCCAAGGCAGTTCAGAGCCTCACCAGATGAGACAGAGTGTGGGTGTCTCTTTTCATCACTTCCTCTTACAAAGCCACCATGATTCAGTCATGGTGGTTCCACCCTGAGGGCTTTATCTAACCATGAGGGACCCCTCTCTAGGCCCCATAGCTTGACTGAGTCCTGCCCTCAATACTTCATGGTGGGGGTGGAGTTTCAATACCTAAACCCTTGGGGACACCCTCAGATTGTTGCAGGTCTGACTTGAGGTGTACAGCAGTGCACAGGAGCAAGCCAGAGCCAGGGGGTGCTTCCCTGAGGAGGCACCATCTAAGGAACTGAAAGAGGAAGCAGCGAGTCCTGCCTGGGAGAGAGGAAGGGTGCCTGGCGAGGCCAAGCAGTTACAACACAGCCAGGAGATGAAAGCCATAAATAAATCCCAGGGAGCAATCCCTTCCTCTAGTCTTTTTTTTTTTTTTTTTTTTTTTTTTTTTCAGAACCTGGGATTGAACTCAGGCCCTTGCACTTGCCAGGCAAGTGCTTATTCTACTGAGCTGTCTCCCCACCCCACCTTCCTCTATTCTAAGTGTGTTTGCCAATTTAAAAGAGTAAACATTGGGTCTGGGAAGATGGCTCAGTAGACTAAGCGCTTCCCTGGCAAACTCAAGGGCCTGAGTTCAATCCCCAGTCCCACCACAAAAGAAAAAAAAAAAAAAGAAAAGAGTAAACACCTCTAATCCCAGTTCCTCAACAAGCTGAGTGAGGAGGGTCACTGGTTTGAGGCCAGCATAGGCAATTTAGGGAAACCCTATCTCAAAATAAAATAGGGCCGGGGAGATGGCTCAGTGGAATAAGCACTTCCCTGGCAAGCACAAGGGCCTGAGTTCAATCCCCGGTTTCACCAAAAGATAAGTCAACAAGACAAAAACTTAGCAAAAAAAAATAATAATAATAATAATAATAAAATAAAACCAAAGAATAAAAATAAATAAATAAATAAAAAGGGCGGGGCTGGAGAGATGGCTCAGTGGAATAAGCACTTCCCAGGCAAGCGCGAGGGCCTGAGTTCAATCCCAGGTTCAAAAAAACAAAAGGCTTAGGGCATAGCTCAGTAATAGAGCACCCCTAGATTCAATCCCCAGTGCTATAAAAAAAAATCAATAAATAATAACAAGATCCAGTGAGGGCTGAGGGTGCAGCTCAGGAGTAAAGTGCTTGCCTAGTATGTGTAGGCCCTGGGTTCAGTCCCCAGTACAAGGATTGAAAAAAAAAATTTTTTTAAAGGTTATTTTAAAAATAAAATTAAAAATGCAATTAAATATCATTCAAAAAGTAAAAGGCTCAAGGAAGATATACCATGGGGGTATAGCTTAGTTGCAGAGTACTTGCTTAGAAGGTGTGAAGCCCTGAGTTCCATTCCCAGCACCACAAACAAAGACAGAAATCAGGCATGTCCTTATCATGAGTATTTGGATCCCAAGGCTGTGGGGATGGAGGCAGGGCAAGCTGCCTGTAAGAATCTAGTTAAAATAATTGAAATGCTTAAAGGTGGAGGCAGAGTCCAATAACAAACTCCATTTCTGAAGCACAGGCCCCACTGTGCCTAGGTGTTTGGTTATAAGCTGTTCGCTGAGGGAAGAGGGGGGAGAGAGGACAATCCCCTTGGGGGCAGCCTGGCATTGCCCCAGATGCCAGGTCCTTGTACCCTTGGCCCAACCAGGACCTCTTGACACCCCGTGGCTATCTATCTGCAGGTGCCATGCCAAAGAGAGGTCTCGACGTGTCCTCCTGCGAGATCTTCCGCTTCTACAAGCTGATCACAACGAAAAGCCTCATCGAGCCCGTATCCATGATTGTGCCCCGGCGGGTAAGCATGGTGGAACCATCAGGGTGGGAGGCAAGGAACCCAACTTACAGAAGACAGCCCCCAGCTGTCAGGGTCACAGCACACCAGCCCATGCCTTGAGGGCAGCCACAGGGAGGCTGGGGGTCACTGCTCCAAGGGAAGATCCTTCCCAGGGTCACCACCAGGCATCCTGGGCCTCACTTACCTCCCCTTTTGAGCTTTGTGTGATGTTGGGCAAGTCCCTTTGTTCTCTGGGTCTGAGTTTCCTCAATTCAGCAGAACTGAGGCTGTCCCCTTGGAGTGGGTCTGGACTCCCAGCTGCCTACTCCACCACTGTCCCCTCACTGTCCTCATTCTCCTGCAGTCGGAATCCTACCAAGAGGACATCTACCCACCTACAGCAGGGGCCCAGCCCTCCCTGACGGCCCACGAGTGGCTCAGTGGGATGAACAAAGGTGAGGAAGGCTAAGAATGGCATCTGCATTGGGAAAGAAAGTCCCACTGGCCCCATGTGTTATTGGGGGACAGAGGGAGTGGCCTGTATTTTAATTTCCTGTATCTTCAAAGGGGACAGTTCTTTGATAGTCAAACCTCAATGACTGGATGGTCACATACAGGACTAAGAAAGTAGGACTTTCAAGTGGCTCAGAAAGCTCTTCCACAATGGTTGCAGCAGCCTGCACTCCCACCAGCAGTGGAGAAGGGTTCCTTTGCCCCACATCCCTACCAGCATTTGTTATTGGTTGATTTCTTAATAATAGCTATTCTTTCTGGAATGAGATGGAATCTCAGCATTTTTAATTTGCATCTCTGAAATAACTAGTGATTTTTGAACATTTTTCATCTATTTATTTGACATTTCTACTTCTTTATCTGAGATATATCTGTTCATTTCAGAGGCCCATTTTTGAATTGAGTCTTTAAATTTGAGAGATCTGATTTTTTTGGGGGTTCTTTATGTATTCTAGACATTAGTTCCTTATCTGAGGAGCAACTGGTAAAGTTTTTTTTTCCCCACTCAGTGGGTTGTCTCTTCATTCTGTTGATGATTTCTTTTGTTGTACAAAAACTTTTAATAAGATAAAGTGTCAGGCCCAGAGATTTAAAAGCTCAGCAGCACAGCACCTGCCTGGCAAGGATGAGGTTGTGAGTTTGATTCACAGTACCAGGAAAAAAAAAAAAAAAAAAACAGTAAGAACCCAGTAGCTGATGCTTTGTGATATTTCCCTTGTAGTCAGGGTTTTGTTCATAAAGTCCACTGCCCAATAGCTCAGTGGATTAAAGCGCCTGCTTAGGCAGACGCAGGGGTTGAGGTTGGATCCCCGGCCTGCCATGCTGGCCCCACCCCCAGGGTGCGCTGAGATGGCAAGTGAGACTGGACATGGCGTAGCACTTGGGAGGCTGAAAAACAGCAAGGATCACTACAAGTCCGATCTGTGTAGTGAGACCCCGTAGACTCTGTACTAACTACATAAAAAATAAAAAATAAAGTCTTTGCCTACACCATTGTTTTCAAGAGTTCTACCTATTCTCTCTTCTGTCAGATTTAGTGTTTGTCCTTTAATATTTAGATATTTGATCCGTTTTAATTTTAGTTTAGTGCATGGTGAGAGACATGGGTCAAATGTTTGTTTTTGACATGTGGAAAGCTAGTTTTTCAGCACCATTTATTAAAGAGGCTATCTATCTTCCAAAGAGGATATTTGGCCCCTTTTTCAAAGATAAGGTGGCTGAATGTGTTAGGGGTTATTTCTGCATCTTCTAATCTATTCCATTGATCCTCAGGTCTGGTTCTTTGCCAGTAATATGCTGTTTTTAAATCATAGTACTTTTGTAGCAAGATTTAAAGTCAGGTATTGTGGTACCTCCTGCCTTGCCTTTGTTGCCCAAAATTGGTTTTGCTATTCTAAGTCTCTTTTGGGTCCAAATAAAATTTAGGATCATTTTCTCTAACTCTGTGCTATTGGTATTTTGATCAAAATTCCATTAAATCTATATAACAATTTGAGAGTGTGACCATTTTCACTATGTTGATTCTTCCTACCCAAGAAAAAGGGATATCTTTACATTTTCTTCTTTTTTTTTTTTTCATTTTCTGATATCTTCTTTGATCTCCTTTTCAGAGTACCATAGTTTTCAGTTTAAAGATCTTTTCTGTCTTTGTTTGATTCTTTCATTTTATTTATTGATATTGTGAAAGGCATGATTCCCCTAAATTCTTTCTCAGTGAGGTTGTTGTTTGTGTACAGAAATGCTATTTCTTTTTTAATGTTAACTTTTTTAAAAAATGTATTTAGGACAGAGACTACAGGGTCTCACTACACAGATCAGACTCATAGTGATTCTCCTGTTTTCAGCCCCCCAAATTCTGAGATTATAGGCATATGCCACCACGCCCAGTATCAATCACCCTCTCATTGTGTGCTGGGGGCAGGGCCAGGAGGACATGCTGGGATCAAGCCCTGGTCCCTGCACCTGCCTAAGCAGGTGCTTAGGGTTGACTTTGTATCTGGCTATGTGACTGAATTTGATTATTAAATACAGAAATTTTGTGGAATTTTAAGGGTCTTCTTCTGTGTAGAGTATCATGTCATCTGAAAATCATAATTTAACTTCTTTCCTATATTTATTCCTTTTATTTCTTTCTGATGTCTGCACTGGCTAAGGTTTCAAACTATATTGCATAAGAATGGTCATAGAGGACATCCGTGTCTTCTTCCTGATTTTAGAGTGAACATACTCGGTTTTTTACCATTTAGTATGATGATGGCTATTGATTTGTCATAGATGGCTTTTATCAGATTGAGATAAAGATCTTCTATTCCAATTTTCTGTAGGGTTTTTATCATGAGTGAGTGTTGGACTTTGTCAAGAGATTTTTCTGCATCTATTGAGATGATCATGTGATTTTTGTCCTTGGCTCTGTTGATATGGTGCATTAAATTTGTTGATTGGTGTATGTTGAACTGTCCCTGCATCCCTGGGGTGAATCAGTGTGAAAGTTCCTTAAAAAAACTAAAACTAGAGCTTCCATTTGATCCAGCTATTCCCCTTCTTGGTGTCTTCCCGAAAGAATTAACATCATACCACAGAGACCACAGAGATCTATGCACATTCATATTTATAGTAGCACACTTTGTAATAGCTAAATCTTTTTTTTTTTTTTTTTGTATCAGGGATCAAACTCAGGACCTTGTGCTTGCCAGACAGGCACTTATGCCACTGAGCTATCACCCCAGTCCTTGTAATAGTTAAGTCTTAGAAAAAGACTAAATGCCCATCAACCTATGAAGATGTGGGGGTTTTATGCAATGGAGTACTACTCAGCCATAAAGAAGGTTAAACTTGAGACATTTATAGGTAAATGGACAAACCATACTCATAAGTGAAATAAATCACACACATTTTTAAATATCACATTGTTTCTCTGTTGTAAGAAACCAAAAGTATAAATGCAGACCAGAATGTATACTACATATTATGAAATAGGAAGAAAGTGCTCAGTTGGAAAGGGGAGCTAGGGAGGGAAGGGAGAGAAAGGAATGGAAAAAAGAGAGAGAGAGAGAGAGAGAGAGAGAGAGAGAGAGAGAGAGAGAGAGAGAAAAGAAGGAAAAATGGAAACAAAACTTTTGTAACGAGGTGAAGAAGGACTGAAAGGAGGATAAAAGAATTAGGGAAAAAGGAATTGAGATAAGTCATGTACAGGTAAAAAGTACCAACAATGAAAACAATCATTACATACATTTAAAATGTACCAATAAACTTAATTAAAAAAAAAAAATTCCAGCTCAAGGGAAGTTGCCCCACAGAACACTTCTCATTTGAGGCTCTTTAGGAAAACTAGACAGTCTCAGCCGACTCCTCTGCCCATGCATGCCCCACTCCTACCTCTGCCCAAGACCCTCTAGACGCCCCACTCCTACCTCTGCCAAGACCCTCTAGACAGCACCTGCAACCTGGGCTCTTTGGCCCTGTCAGCCTATCCTGACAGTTCTCAGGGCCATTCCAGTGGAAAGAGAGCAACATATGGTCTCTTGACCTCTGACCCGGAAGCTCTCTTTCCCTCCGTTTGAAGAACTTCTCATTTCCCTCACCAGGGCTGAGGGGCCTCCTGCCTGACACACTGAGTGGGCTACTGCCAGTGCCAAGTCCTAGACTTGTGTGACCTTAGGTCCTCTCCTTCCTGGGTCTCTAATTCTTCCTCTTCTTGCCACCTTTGGTTCCTGAGGTGTTGGGAGAACTCATGGGTAGATAGTTGAGTACAGTAGGGTTGGGACTGTCCTCATAAGGCAAGAGCAGGCTACGCTTAAAGGAACACATGGTGTCTGCAGACAGCTCCAATGCACACCCACCACTATGATTTGCTTAGGTGGCTGCATGTGTGGTGCTTGTAGCTGACTACCCGGCCCCACAATTCTTCTACCTGTCTGCAGGCAGCTACGTCTCCCACGCCTGTGTGTGTTCCCGCATGCCAGCCTCCCCATGTCCATCTGCTCATGCCACTCAGTGCTCTCACAGCCCTTTGCTTCCCTCCAGAGCCAATCCTGGTGTCCCTCCGGCCCGGCTCCCAGCTGCTGAGCCCTCGGCCTCTGCCTCCCCAGCGACCCCTCTCCAATGCTGCAGCCCCAGCTTCACTCCTGCCCGTGGACCCCACACCAAAACTGGCCACAGAGGACAGCCGGAGGCCCAGCCCCCTGTTGGAGGAGAAGGTGCCAAGGTGGGCAGTGGAGCACAGGCTGGAGGAGAAGAAATCCTGGCTCACAAACGGCTTTGACGTTTTCGAATGCCCCCCACCAAAGACAGAGAATGAGGTAAAGGAGGGTGCTGGCCAGCTGGGGGCAGCTGGGAAGGGAATCAGCACTGCTTGCTCCTCAGGGCAAGGGCCCAGGGTGAGAGGAAAAAGCTGGCCAGGAAGTGCAGCCCGCCATGTGGCTTAGTCCCTAACTCACTTTGTTCATTCAGTCAACAAATGGGCAGTGAGCACCTTCTGTATGCCATGGTGGTAAATATATACACCCAGATAGAAGGGAACCATCTAGAAAATGTAGAGGGTTTGACCTGGTGAGTGTTAAAGTCCCCTCCAGTGCTCATGTTCTAAGATTGTCTGGGCTTTCAGAATGAGCATCTGTTGAGTGCCTTACTGTATGCCAGGCCCTGGGATAGATGTTTTTGATTTTGAATGTGATGGAGTCCCATGGGCCACAGCCCTGGAAGTCAACGGTGGTGGGGCTAAAATTGGAGGGGGAGGTGTCCAGCTGAGTACTCACTAGCAGCCTCAGGCCTGGAGGCCACATGTTGCTGCCTCAGTTTCCACGTGTGAAATGGAAATGGCACTCACAGGGGCATCACAAGCGTCTAGAAGATAAGGAAAGCCCTTGGGGGGCACCCAGCATCTAACAGCTGTTCTCTATAGCAGCAACAATTATGACAGCAAAGAGGTTTTCTGACCCCAGTCCCTAGAGCAGTGGGGGCAAACCTATGGCACACGTGCCACAGCTGGCTATTTGTTGCCACTGAAAGTTCTAAAAGGTTTGCCACCACTGTCCTAGAGAAAGAAGCTGAAGGTCTAAGAGGACAGGTAACTGACCACCCACAGTCATGTGGTTTAGAGGTGGTGAAAATGTCCATTCCCAGGCTTCAGGGCCAAGTATATTTTCCTCCTGATCCCTAGGGAGCCAAAGAGGCAAGAACATCTAAAACTTTCAAACCTTCATTGAATTTCCCTCACTGGGTGAAGTAGAGATTTTTGTAAAAAGATCTGTGCACAGATTGCCCCCTTGTTAATTTAATCACTTCTGGCTCCTTGAGTCAAAAAGGTAATGTTTCAGCCCTCCTGCTGGTGCCCTACTCCAGCCACCCAAGTGATCTTGCCCTCTGACCTCTGCCTTCCCAGCTGCTGCAGATGTTCTATCGGCAACAGGAGGAGATCCGAAGACTCCGGGAGCTGCTGACCCAGCGAGAGGTCGAGGCCAAGCAATTGGAACTGGAGATCAAAAACTTGCGGATGGACTCTGGGCAGTTCTGAGCAAGGCCTCTGCCATCCCCGCCCTCAGGGACACCACTGGCTTTGTGGGGAGGTCCAGAACCGAGCTTCACATCCCCCAAAACAACCACTATTTCTATATTTTTTATCAGAAAACGAAAACTCTCAGTCACTGAAAGAGATTCCAGTGGGATATGGTGCCGTTTTCTATTTGCCTTCTTGCGACAGCAGTTTCTGCACTGACTCTGTTTTTAGATATTTTGCCTTCTGTTGAATTCTGTCTCTCGGGGTCCACAATGAGCTATAACTTCTCGAGAGGAAAGAACACTGTAGGAAGTTCGAGCTGGAAGGATCTGGGAAGAACACTGCCTATGATGTTCAAACCATGCTCTGCAGAAAGGGAGGACAGCGTAGGCAGGAGCCCACTCCAGCAGACAGCCCCTTCTGTCTGTTTCACCTGTTGGCCTGTTGTGGAATACAGAATTCTGCCACTTACCCAAGTTTTTAGAAGTCTGAAGTCTGGCTCAGCTCCCTCATTTTACAGGTGGGAAACTGAGGCCAGGTAAAGGCAGTGAGGTTTGTTTCGTGGTGCCAGGCTGAGATCCTGGTCTTCTGGTCTTTCTATTGCTGCTGGCCTGATGCAGCTCTCAGCTGCCTAGGCAGGAATCCCCTGGTTCTGGTCTATGCGTGACATACTTGGTGACCATTTACAAAATCCTTCTTTTTGGGGTCTCAGCTTGTTCGCTGAACAGGAGGAGCCCTGGAAGGAGCTACCCACACAGGTCTACACCCAGAGACCAGGACCACACACTGGCAAAGAGGCTGAAGCGGGTCACGCTGAAGGAATGAGTTAAGGTTCCTCGCAACTCTGCAGCACAGACCAGAGGTCAAAACCACCCTTCCTAGCCAGATGTGAGGAGATGCTGGCCCCCATGTGGCGGTGCAGACCTTAGAGCTGAATCTGGACTGCTGCACATAGCCTGCCTGCTCCAGGAAGATGTAGGCGGATTTCAGCCCAGGTTAACAAAAGCCTGGATCCTGGCCCAGCCCTGTAGCCACCTGCCAGTGAGGGCTTCTGGGGTGGCATGAGCACACTGGGGAGAAAGGAGCACCAGATGGTCCATCCACAAGTTCCCTTCTGGCCTGGAAGTGCTTCTGTGTCCCTCCTTTCTTGCTTCTGCTTTGTTTTGTTTTTCTGGTACTGGGGATCCTCCCCATGGCCTTCAAACTGAGCTACATCCCCAGCGCTTATTCATTTTTTGAAATTTGAGACAGGGTCTCACTAAGTCACTAAGCTGCCCAAGCTGGGCTTGAATTTGTGACCCTCCTGCCTCAGCCAACCAAGCAGCTGGGGTTACAGGTGTGTGCCACCATGCCTGGCTGCATCCCTCCTTGTTAAATCTCTACCCTGAACCCTACTCTAAGGCTTATTCTTTCTCATGGTCAGTTCAGTCCAGCCGGAGACAAAGAATGATACCAAGTGAAGTCTCTCTGTCTTTACCCAGCATGGACAGACAATTAAGTTTTCCCCATCCCACAGGTGACTCTGGAGCTCAGATGGGACTGCAGAAGACACAGCCTAAGAAGCTTCCATCCACGCTATACAGTAGAATCCCCTTGAGAGCCTTCAGGAAGCAGAGATACCCAGCTCCCACCCTGCATTCACTAAAGCTGAATCTCTAGGGCCTAGGCCTCTGATTTTATAAGCTGCCCCGGGAGTTCTGTAACACAGGACAGAAACTCCTGGACCCATCCCTAGGCCTGATCTGCAGGAAAGGTGAAGAAAGCAATGAAAGCCACACAGGAGCTGGGGCTCAAATACGGTACCCAGGCTGCCCCCTCCCCCACCCAGGGCTTAGCTGATGCCCCTTGCCAGTCTACAAACACCAAACAAAGGCCCTATTCTTTATCTTATTCTCCATTTCCCCTAACCGCCAGCCAGGTTTGCCTTACTTTGTTGAGGAGCAAAAGGCCACATCCCAGGCACCGTGCCTCCCTGACTGGTTTTCCCTCTCCTTCATCAGCGGCCAGCATGTCACAGTTTACAAAGCCCTCCCCTCTTCACTCACTGGCCCACGCTGCTCCAACATATCAGACAGGCCTTATTGTCTTATCTTCAGAAGGGAAGATGAAGTGAGCCTCAGAAAAGTGAAGAAACCTCAGGCTCCAGCCCACTGGCTGCCCAACTGGGGGGGGGGGGGGTGCGCATGGTGGGGAGGGGTATTTGAGTGCAAAGAGCATCCATTGTCCCCTCAAAAGCTGCCACCTGGAGAACCCGGACCTCACACTTGGAAACAGGATACAGACAGCTTGAACAAACTTGTTTTCTGTCTTTTTTTGTTTGTTTGTTTTAAACACCTAGCTAGGATAAATTATTTAAATTATTTCACTGCAAGGGAGAGGGATAGGTAATTTTTATCCAATATTTTTTAAGCTTTTTTTAATTACATTTTTGTTTATGTCCTTGAGTTGATGGAGCGGACTGTGCCCAGCCCACAGGCAGTGCCTGCAGCTCATCTCCTTACTGTCCCCCCTGCTCTAGGAGCCCCCTTTCTGTTGTTGACTCAGGAACTCCCGTTGGGGATGAGCTTCAGCTGGCGTCAGCCTTCGCTCCACCGTGATTGCGCTTCCTGAGAGGGGAGTTGAGATGTCACAGAGGGATTCAGGAAGTCAGGAATGGAGCGATGTTTTGCATATGAAACTGTGCCTGAAACGGTTTGAATGATTGTTTTAATGCTTCCGAAAGTCCTTGTACCTTTGTAAAAAAAAAAATATAATAATAATAATGATACAATAAAGAAATAAAAGTGAACATAGATATGGAATTGTGCCCTGGAAAGAATGTAACAAAACAATAAACATCTGGCTGACATTTTAATAAATGGAACTTTGCTTTTCTTGTTCCACAAATATCAATTAAGTGACCACCTACTCTTTGGGCCAGACACCTGCTCAGAAACAGGACAGGCAAGGTCCTGACCACCAGCAGCACTTGCCGCCCAATGTCCAGGAAAGGTCAGGCTGCTCTGGGAGGAGAATTGGCAAGACAGCCTGGAGGAGGTGACAGTCAGGCCCAAACCCCAAAACAGGTTAAGTGGAAGGAGGAAGCAGAGGGTGTCTTGGGAGCACAAGACTGTTCTGGAACAGAGAACTGCTCGCTTCCCTCAGCCTGAAAAGGAGCAAAGTGCAGGGACCAATGGGTGCGAGAGCCTAAGATCTTGTAAGTTTTAGCCCATGGGCACCTGGAGTTTCCCAGAGATTCCTTACTCTGCGGGAGTGGGCCCTCGAGGGTAGGGCAGTGATGGGTGTAGCTAACCTGTGCCCTCCGGGAGGCGCACCCCAACCCGGCCCCATCCCCACCAAGCAGCAGCGTCACCTTGCAGTTAGCACACTAGAAGTGAGTGCCTGTCCCGTGGTGCCCACTTTCCCGCAGAGGTGGCACGAGGTGGGCACGCGGAGCGGGTCAGCCGGGAACTGGGCGGGAGCCTGTAGCTCGCAGGGCAGCGCCCGGCTCCGCCCCCTGCCCGGTTTCGATTCCGAGGAGCCCCGCCCCCAAGCCCTGCTGGAGCCTGGAGCGGTGGGCGCCAATGGCCAGCGCGGCGGAGACCAGCTGGACCCCCGGGGGGCCGGGCCCGGCCGAGCCTGAGGAGGCAGTCAGCTGGCGCTGCTCGGAGCACAGGGATCGCCCTGTGGAGCTCTTTTGTCGCCGTTGTGCCCGCTGCGTGTGTGCGCTCTGCCCGGTGCTGGGCGCACACCGCGGCCACCCGGTGACTCTGGCGCGGGAGGAGGCGACGCGCGTGCAGGTGGGCACTGTGTAGGCTGCAGGGCGCAGAACTGGGGGCGACCTGGGAGGAATAGGCAGGGCATGCCCGGGCCCAGCCACTATTAGGACCTGGAAACCGGAGGATGGTCCCGCGGTCATCTAGTCGGTAGACTAGGAAGGAGAGACTGTGGTCCAAGAAAGGCAAAGGGGAGCCACAGCCACCAGATAAGCTTCGAAAGGGCTGGGGTAGGAGGGAGACCTGGGAGCCAGGCAGGTAAGTACCCAGATGCCCTAGATGTCACCCAACATGGCAGGTGGACAGCACTGCCTTGGGCTGGAAATCTCAGGTCACAGGTAAGCCCCCACCTTCTTCTTTCTTCCCACTCCTGAGAAAACAGCCCAGGTGGCTCCAGAAAGCCAACAGGCATGGCCTTGTGTCCCTACACCTCCTGGAGTTCACAGGTCATAATCTGAGGGCCAGTGTTGGCCTGGAAGCAGCCTCATCGGACCCTCTTCCTTCCTGGGCAGCAGCTCCCTCCTCCATGCAGCTGCACCCCTTCCAGGGCCTGACAGCCCTGGGCCAACTGTTAGCAATTTAACCACTTTACAAAAGAAGGCTAACAAAACAAAAGCAAGGCTCTGGAACTAGGGGCAGTCCTTGAACCCTGGAACCAACCAGCAGGAATGTTTACCATGGAGCAGGTTCTCATCCTGATGCCCTTAGCCACTTAAATCTTAGTAGTGAACAGAGGCCAGGTTCTCTGTCTTCAGCCCTTTATGTAGTCCCAGTGCTGGGATTACAGGCCTGTGCCACCACACTCGGCTCTGGGCTACATTTTGAGACCCTATCTCAAAACACAAGACAAACAAAAAGCTAGTTGTAATAGTGATAGCTCCTCAAAACTGTTGTTCAGAGCTACCAAGGCTGCCTTCCAGAGATATGGCTGAAAGGTCTCCCTCAGTTGTTCACTTGCCCATCTGGTCTGCCCACCTATCTCTGTGTCCACATACTCCCTCTCCTATCCAGGTATCTATTATCTGTCATTCAGCAAACATCTCATCACATACCTTGCGCCATGAGTCATGTCACAGGTCACATAGTCCCCTCACTCGGAGGAGTTGCCTAGCTGGTGTGGTAGGCACACCATGACACTTCTATGTGCTAAGTACTGTCACTGAGAAGCCAAGGCAGTTGAGTGACAGGTGGGGGTGGGGGGGAGAGAGATGCTAAAACTAGGCGCAGGAAACCTGAGAAGACTTTGCAGTTTCCTGTTGGAAATGGGCGGTACTAGGTTGCAAGACAGAAGAGGCCCCTGCAGTTGGAGGGCAGAGACAGACACCTGGAACTTGAAGGTATCCTTGAGTCATGACAGACCAGAGCTGGCTTAGAAATCACAGTGCGTCAGGAAGTTGAGACAGGGGCTCACCGCTGCTCTGGCCCACCTCCGGCCTATAATAGCATGGTGCACAGTAGCCAGTGCCTGAGGGATGTTTAAATAATGAAAGTAAGTGCACTGAGCAGATAGATACCGTCTGTCAAGCACCCTGTACACATCTCAGTGGTCTCTACAGCTACCCTGTTTAGAGCAGTGGAAACTGAGGTTCGGAGAGGAAATGGAGGATTCATGAGGAGCAGTGACTCAGATCTAGGTCTCCCCTCTCTGTGATCTTGTGCTGGGAACAGCTGGCCTGAGGCTCCCAGCTCTCTCACACTGGCAGCCCCAGGGGGCCATGGTGATGGCTCAGTAGAATAAGCCCTTGCCTGGCAAGCACAAGGGCCTGAGTTCAATCCCCGGTTCTGCCAGAAAAGAAAGAAAGAAAGAAAGAAAGGAAGGAAGGAAGGAAGGAAGGAAGGAAGAAAGAAAGAAAGAAAGAAAGAAAGAAAGAAAGAAAGAAAGAAAGAAAGAAAGAAAGAAAGGAAAGCAAGCAAGCATTGTGAAATATGTTAAAGTCCTTGAAAAACAAATTTATGAACATTGGCAGCCCCTGGTAATTCCATTTGATTCCAAAAGTACTTCAGGTTTCTCTCCAACCCCATTCCCTCCCTGTGGGGGCCAGTAGTCGGGCCCAAGGGTTGAGCGCGAGGTTAGCTATAGGGAAGGCTGGGCTTGGATCTGGTCCCACTGTGGGGGAGAAAACCCCCAGCATACCTCTGAAAAACACAGCAGCATGAGGAAGGTGAGAAGGATGCCCTGAGACAGAGGAATAACCAGTCATGACGGCTCTGAGGGACATGAGTCTCAGCTCTGATGAGAGATGCCGACTCAGAGGTCCATCTTCATGTTTCCCCCAACTTCTCTTGTGTAGAAACTCATCCAAGAATGTCTCGAGCATTTGGCGACCAAGAAGCAGCAGTACACTGGCAACATAACACAGATAGAAGGTGCCACTGAGAAGCTCAAGGCAAGTGAAGTTTCCTCCCTACTACAGGGCACATGCCAACACTCCCACCCCCAAAACAGGTGCCCCCAGTGTGGAGGCTCAGAGGGGCACGCAAGGCCTCAGGCTTCTATAATTCAGAGGCCCACTTTGAGAAAAAGTGGACAAAATGACAAATTTCAGTGCAAGACCATGAAAGAAGTGTGTAAACAAGGGACCCGAGATTCCTGTTTCCTCAGCCTTGTGGAGATTTGGTCTTTGCCCAGCACCCCAGCCCTGAGCTACTGCCTGACAAAGTGAGGAAGAAGATATTTGGCCAAATAGCTCAACAGATTAAAGGGCCTGCAAGCAGGCGCAGGGGCAGTAGTTTGATCCCCAGGCCTGTCATGCTGGCCCTGCCCCCAGGGCACACTGAGATGGTGATTGAGACAAGGTGATTGAGACTGGACTTGGTGGTGGGTGCCTGTAATCCCAGCTCTTGGGAGGCTGTAAACAGGCGGATCACTATGAGTCTGATCTAGTAGTAGTGAGGCCCTGAACCTTCTCTAAAGTACAAAAAAAAAAAGAAGATAGGCCTTTTCTCCCACTAAGACCTTGCATTGCATAGGTCTTTTTTTTTTTTTTTTTTTTTTTTTTGTGAAACTGAGGATTGAACTCAGACCCTTGTGCTTCCCAGGCAAGCAGTTATTCTACTGAGCCATCTCCCATAGGTCTTGGAGGGACCAATCCTTCTTCTCCTCAGCCCCAAATTACCATAGACAAAGCAAAAGACAGCTTTGTGTCATGCAAATAGGTCAAAGGTTTCTTAGCCCTGAAGGAAATTAAATGGGGGGGACATGTCTCAGTAGAATAAGCACTTGCCTGGCAAGCAAAAGGGCCTGAGTTCAATCCCCAGTTCTGCAAACAAAAAAAAAAAAAGAAAGAAAGAAAGGAAAAGAAAGAAAGAAATTAAATAAGGATATATTTTCTCCAGGCTTCTACTTTCATCTAATGTTTGTCTAAATGTATTCTTAAGGGAGTTTTGCTGGAAGTTAGGGCTGACATGTTTGTGAGTCGCCATTCTGAAGAAGTCACTGTATCCTTCAGCCTTCTGTGGGGACTCAAGCTGTACCCCTTTTCCTCTTGGTCCCAGCTGCTCCCTCCTCACAGTGAGGGCTGGTATGGAATGTCCGCCAGGGTCTGCCCCGATCTACCCATGACTGACCCACACACAGGAGAGAGAAAGACTGGCTATGGCCATGGGAAAAGCTGACACGAGGTCTCCCAACAACCAGCCTGAGGCCGGGACCCATTGCGTGCTGGGGCCCAGGCCAGGCTATGGAGCCGACTCCTTCATTTGCCTACCTTCCCTTACCTATGAGGTAGCTAGATACCCTAATGTACTGGGGACCTTGGTTCACACCCACAATGTAGCCCCGGCTTAATTATTAAGTGCTTGTCAAGAGCAGACCTCTGGACTCAGGAAGATAAATCAGTTCAAAAGGACTTGGTAAGTGAAAGCTGGCAGGTTGGAAAGTGACTCCCTCCAAGAGATGAAGGAACTACTCAGCCTGTTTGGACTGAAGGCACAGGACTACTGTCTATAAATCTCTGACCAGATATGGTTTGGGGACCCCCCAGAGGAAGAGTTAGAACCGGTTTGGAGGGACTAAGACAAGGACGGGGCAAGTGTTAGCAACTTTTTAATTTTTTACTCTGAAATAATTATAGATTCACAGAAAATTGCAAAGATAAAATAGAGAAGCTTTGAGTACTTTCACCTTATTTCCCTCAAGGTTGCATCTTAACTATATATAGTACAGTGTTAAAACAGAGATTGACAGTATCTTTGCTAGAATTATGTAACCACTGGTTTTACATCTTTTATTTTTATAATTTTACATTTAATAATTTACATTTTTAGCTGGATATCATGGTACATGCTTATTAATCCCAGTTGTTCAGGAGACTGAAGCAGGAGGATCAAAAGTTTTGAGGCTAGCCAGATCAATTTAGCAAGACCCTATTTCAAAATAAAATAAAAAGGTTTTGGGAATATAATTCAGTGGTACAACACTTGTCTAGCTTGCACAGGGCCTTGGGTTTCACCCCAATACTGCAAAAATAATTAACTAATTTATTAATTGGTATGTATGATTTATATCAGCTGGCCATAGTTATGTGGGGCTTTGCCCAAGTTCTTTATTCTGTGTCTATCTCTCTCTCAATATTACACGTAATTACTGCAAGCGATAATAGATTGTAAAAATAAATGATGCCTCCGCCTCTTTTTTTTTTTTTTTTTAAATACTAGAGATTGAACTCAGGGCCTTTGCACTGAGTGACACCCTCAGTCGTCGTCGTTTTCTTCTTCTTCTTCTTCTTCTTCTTCTTCTTCTTCTTCTTCTTCTTCTTCTTCTTCTTCTTCTTCTTCTTCTTCTTCTTCTTCTTCTTTTGGTAGGATCTTACTGAGTTGTTGGAATAGGGTGGAATTTACAGTCTTTCTGCCTTACTCTACCAGAGTTCTCAGATTACAGGTGTATGCCACTGTATCCAGCTTTTTCCAAAATTATTTCAGCTTTTTTAGGTTTGTTTTTGTTAGTTTGTTTGTTTTAGCCTTTCCACTTAAATTTTAGGATAATCTTGTATATATCTATAAAAAAAAGATTTTGTTGGAATTTTGATAGGAATTGTGTTAAATTTGTGTCAGTTTGGAGAGCTGCCATCTTTACTGTATTGAGCCTTACGTTTATGAACACGGTATGCCTCTTTATTTACATATTTGTTGTCTTTTACTGCTACTGGTAGTTTTTACCATATAAATCTCATGCATGTTTTGTGGGGTTGTTGGTTTGGTTTGGTTTGGTTTGGTTTTGAGACAGGGTCGTGCTGTGCAGCTCAGACTGGCCTTGAGCTCACTTTGCAGCCCAGGTTAGTCTTGAATTCCCTGGATCCTCCTGCCTCAGCCTCCTGAGCACTGGGATTACAAGCATGTGCCACCACACCTGGTTGACATATTTTGTTAGACTTATACCCAAGTATTCCTAATAATATAAAAGAAAATAGGAATAAAATGAAAGAACATTTGAACTAGTGGTCAGTATTTTGTTTTTGGTTTTGAGACACGGTCTCACTATAGTTCAGGCTGGCCTTGAATTCATTCACTATGCAGCCCAAGCTGGCCTTGAATTCACAGTGATCTTCCTCCTGAGTGCTGGGATTTACCTGTGTGCACCACCACATGGGCAGTGGTCAGAAGCGTTTACATAAAAGTTGGGTTTAGGAAGGTCAGAAGATGTTGCCACCTTTTGTGTGCATCCTCTGGCCTCAGCTTCCCAGGTGCTGGGATCATAGAGCTACCCCACCAGGCCCCGCCCAGACCTATTTTATATTAATTTTGCCGTTCCAGCAATTCAGGCTTGAAGTCTGTGTCGTGCCTGATGGTTTGTTTTGCTGATGATTTTCTTTTTACCTAGATGGCCCTAAATGCACAACCAGACTTCTTGCCCTCACCCTGGGCCAGTGAGTAGAATTTTTCTGGTCTTTAGCTCACAGATGGAGCAGCGGCTCCCTGACTGTGGCTTCACGTGGACCACCCCTGCCCCCTCCCAGGTGACACGAGGCCAAGTGCCCTGAGCTCCCCTAAAGTGGCCAGGCCCCTTGGGGTGTCACTCTTACCTACACATAGTTCCAATTCCACCTTTGCCAGGACCACCTGACGTCAGCGTCATCTCCTGTCCCCACCACTGACACCGAGTCTTGTGGTCACTGCTAAGCTGCCTGGTACAGACTCAAACTAGGGGTGCTTCTGCCCCAGCCTCTCAGCTGACAGGCACGCACCATTATCTCTTGCTGTGCCTTTAGCATTTCTACGTGCTTGAAGAAGGAGGGAGGATTTTCCATGTAAGCTCCTTTTCTGTTTTGGTTTTTAACGTACTGAGGATTGAACCCTGGGTCTTTTTCTTTTCTTGTCTTTTCTTTTTGTATTTTAGGGAAGGGTCTACAGGGTGTTCAGGGTTGCCCTACTAGATCGGACTCGTAGTGATCCACCTGTTTACAGCCGCCCAAGAGCTGAGATTACAGGCACACGCCACCACGCCCAGTCTCAATCGCTGGCTCAGCAGACCCCAGGGGCTGGGTCGAACACCTCTACCCCCCACCTCCCACCCCCTACCCGCACCCTACCCCTGCACCTGCTTGTGGGCGCTTTAATCTGCTGAGCTTTTTGGCTGGCCCCATGAACCCAGGGTCCTTTGCATTCTAGGCAAGCCCTCTACCGCTGAGCTACACCTCCAGCCTTCCTCCTCCTTTATTGAGCAAACCTATGTGTCACTTTATATATGTTATTTGTTTGTTTACTCTTTCTTTTTTTTTTTTTTTGCGGAACCAGGGATTGAACTCAGGCCCTTGCGCTTGCCAGGGAAGCGCTTACTCCACTGAGCCATGTCCCCTATTTGTTTGTTTAAAACATTTATCTGCTATTAAAATATTATTTGTCAGTGTCAATATATTATTTTCTTTTCTTTCTTTCTTTCTTTTCTTTTTTTTTTTTTTTTTTTTTTTTTGATGTGGCCTTGTACTACTGGGCTCAAGCAGTGCCGTTGCCTCGGCCTCCTGATCAGCTGCGACTCTGTGCACATTCTAAGTCTCTAACTGTGCCTCACCAGTTGTGGTGGTGCACACCTGGAATCCCAGCAATTTGGAGGCTGAGGCAGGAGGATCGTTGTAAGTTCGAGATCAGCCTGGGCTACGAAGTGAGCTCAAGGCCAGCCTGAGCTGCATAACAAGTCAAAAAACAAAATAGGTCTCTAACTATGCCTAGATTCAACGAACAGCCACCACTCGTTGTCACTTGGTTCATGTCCTGCAGGACCCACCCCTAGAAGTGCCATGCTTACTGTGGGCACAGGTCTGTGCAATGCCCCCAGCGCTGCCTGGCCACCTGCTGAGCTTGCCTGCTGCTCCACACTTAATTACACAGAGTCAGTGCTCGGGACAAGGCCATGTGCATGGAAACCAACCCACCAGATGGCTTTGTAAACAGATAAAGTCCATCCATGGTCCGAAGTCTCTCATGCAAAAGCCACCAAGCAGGCCTTGTCAGAGGCCACGTGGATCTTTCTAGGTGGATTAGGTCATTAATCCCCAACCAACACTCATTTGGTGACTTCTTCTTGTATCCTTGTTACCAGGCCATCTGCTTACAAGGCTGACAATCCAGGCTGCCTGTCCCCTCCTTAGGTGCAGGGAAAACCCAACACACACCTGCAGTCTGGACTCAGGACTTAGACTGAAGCCAGATGATGATGCCAAGGAGCTATGTCCTTCCTAAATCTTCCACAGATTCAGGAATGATCTTTTGCTATTTTTATAAATGAAAGTAGAGGGGATCTGTGTGTCTATGTGTGTGCATATAGATACTTACTTGCCTATAGTGACAGTGGTTGCTGTTTGCTGATTGAGGCAGTGAGGGAAGTAGAATGTGCCAGGCTGCGGAGCTGAAAGGCTTCCGTCCGTGAGGGCGCCCGCACTTGGCACGGTGGCTGACGTACACTGTAGTCCCAGCTACCCTGCAACTTGCTCCTTTTCACGGGGGCCCTGAAGCACTTTCCTGGCCAGTGCATTCTTTCCCCTTTGGTATTGTTTTATGGTGGTAATACATACATAACAGAAATTTAGCGGTTTTCAGCTCTTTTATTTATTTTAATTTTTTATTATTTATTTGGTACAGGGTCTTGCTATGCAACTCAGACTCATAGTGATCCTTCTGTCTCAGCCTCTCCAGTGCTGGGATTACAGGCTTGAGCCGCCAAGTCTGATTTCAGTGACCTGCACAGTGCACCCAGGGTTCTGGGGCCAGCACAGCATGCAATACCCAGGATTGAACTTGGGTCCTTGCGCTTGCCAGGCAGCCCTCAGCTGGGGAGACAGTGTTCCTTCAGAGGCATTATATTCATGATGGTGTACAATCATCACCATTATCTATTTGCAGAACTTTTTCATTACTCCAAAGAGAAACTTGAAGCCACAGAGCACTCCTACCCCAACCTCCTTTGCCCAGCCCCTGGTCACCTCTGCTCTACTTTCTGTATCCACGAATTTACCTGTCCTAGTTTTTTGTTTGTTTATTTTTTTGTGTTTTTTAGGGAAGGGTCTACAGGGTGTTCAGGGTCTCACTAGTAGATCAGACTCATAATGATCCACCTGCTTACAGCCTGCCAAGTGCTGGGATTACAGGCACGCACCACCACACCCAGTTTCAATTGCTGTCGCAGCGTACCCCAGGGGCAAGGCCAGCACAGCAGGCCCGGGGATTGAACCCCTAGCCCCTGCACCTGCTTGCAGGCACTTTAATCCGCTGAGCTATTTGGCTGGCCCCACCTGTCTTAGTTATTGCTTGAAACTGCCAACACATGTTATTTGTCCTATTGAGAGGCCTTTCTGGTCCTCCTGATCATAGCCAAGGAAATATATATA